TCATTTTAACTTCTTTTGAGCGTGTGATGAAAATAATAATAATAATAATTAAAATGGGCATCAAAGATTTTGAAACGAAGTAGAAAGGTAAAATGATAGCGAGTTCAAGTTCTGGTCTGCTGAAGCCTGGAAGACGTTTTATTAGGGGCTTCCCCTGAAATTCTAAGAAGCTCTCGGAGCATTTTGAACTTGGTTAAACTCTCTCATGATTTTTCTAAGTTGGTTACTTTCTCTTTGTGATTGCCTATTATTAAAAGTTCTTGGAGTTTCTTATAGATAAGTTGACCTCATGGCCAGAAATAGGAAATTTTCGATGCTAATTGGTTTATATAGAAGAATCACATTTATGCATTTTTTCCTTTTGGAACTGTAAATTTGGAAAATAAAAAGTACCGTCTTCTGCTGTAAAGATGAATCCTTAAACCTTATTAGTTACTAACAAACTTCTTGCATATATTTTCTCTAGACTAAAAGAATAGAATGGGTCTCCATTGTCCGTATGAAATTTTGGTTATCATTTTCAATTCTTCTTTTTATGAGCAATTTCTTGAACAAGTTGGCCCGTCCTTCTAAGGGCTTAAAACTTTCGTTAGCTTTCCCCCTAATATTCTGTCTTTTCTTTAGTGATTGTATCTCTATTCTCCAAGGGCTTTCGAAATGGGTGGGCTGCCGACAGAGAATACTTCATCGACCTTAGCTTTGATTGGGTCACAGCAAAACCATGGATCAACCGTCAACAAGCCTGGCACAGATACAAAGCCGAAGAAGAAGATCTGCTGTGCTTGTCCTGAGACTAAGAAATTGAGAGATGAATGCATTGTCGAGCACGGGGAAGAAGCTTGTGCAAAATGGATAGAGGCGCATCGCAAGTGTCTCCGCTCTGAAGGCTTCAATGTTTAGTGGTACGAAAGATGGTTGGACTGCATGATAAGGTTTTGATAATTTTTTAATACAGACTTGTTTGTTTCAGGATAGCACATACAGGATGATACCCGAAATTTATGAATAATGCGAGGCAGGGGAGATTCTCTTGCCTGTTAGATAACATTCATGTGTTTATTTTGTTTGTTTTCCTTATACTGGCAATTTTTTTTT